AACTACGGAAGAATAATCCGTAATAGGTTTAAAGACACACTTCCAAATTCCCCTGTATGTATTAAAAGCCGCAAGTTATACCGGGCATAGAGTATACCCCAAAGATCAAAGATAGTTACCGTTATAGGTTTATAAAAGTTATTAGAAAATTATTCACATAACACGCCCAACTCTTTAAACCATCGGGTGGTTGTGATTTTAACAGATCCAAACACGATTGCCATTAAATAGTTTAATTTAAAAGTGACCAATCGAGACTTTGTTTATTTATGTAACAACGGTATTGCAATGATAATTAATCGAGACTACGCCTTTTTTTTCAAACAGTCTTAACTTCGCTCAGAATGAACTAATTTGACTGAAATTTTCAATATATTCCTTCTTCAGTGTCTATTCTTAACTATTATAGAGAGAACTGTCAACCCTTTCTCTAAATTTTACACAATGCATCTTTAATATACCACGGTGTCTGCTTGTTAATCAAATAAATCTCAGCAGCTGTTTACGTGTACTGTTTGTACGGTCTGTGTTTTGTTGTGTACAGTTGCCTATGAGAAATAATTTAAGAATAAGATGTGTTAAGGAAGTAAGTGACAACCAGACAATTCAATCTGTGTGTGCCATAACAACACATCAAATTGTAAGTTCTGGGCTCTACTTATCTTATAATAGTTTGATTTCGCATTAATACCAGACATTTTCAAATGAACCGCGTTAAAATTGTAACTGATCAGAGTTACATGTGAAGATTGTCTGTCCAGAAGGTGTGTCCAGAAGATCTGTCATTGAGTCAATTGGCGTAGTTTAGATTCCCCGCATGTGCGTGACAAGGAGTAGGGTCGCCTGTCCTCATGTTTTCAACCACAGCTAAAGACCCTTACGCGCAAACGAATTATTGTACTAACATTGGTTTATTTGTTAGTTTCTAAATGACCTAGTTTGTTTCGATGTTAAACTCTCTCTCTCTCTCTCTCTCTCTCTCTCTCTCTTTCTCTCTCTCTCTCTTGCGCTTTTTAACACCACCTAAGGTGAACTGAACATGGCTGTCATCTATGTAAGCTGTGCTGTTGATCCCACGATAGTGTATGACAAGGTATGGGATAGCACGCTTAACATCTTTCTAGGGTTGTCCTGTTTCCTGAGCAATTCAGAGTGCTACTTAATAGAAATTGTTATTTGGGTCGAATAATTAAACCAGAAGTTATTTTATTGAAGTATGATGAGTTTCAAGATATTTGTCGTGTATGGTTGAATAGACAAATTTCATTAGTGATTTGGTTAAATTGACTGGGGTTACCACAAACACCAATTCTATTGTTCAATTTCCACTATCGTGTCACTTTATTGTCTCCCCTTTGTGTTTGCTAGGAATTAAATATATATAAACCATTGATCCCCTACGGTCCCTTTCACAAATCAAATCAAATATATGCTTTAACAAATATATACGCCAGATTTTCATGAGGACAATTTGATTGCTGACACTCGTGTTTTTAATTATCTATATGATATCAAAGCACAATACTTGTTTTCTTCTTTCATTGTTTGGCGTCATTTAAGTAAATGATTGTCTTTTTTTATGTATTTAAAATGAGATTTTTTTAAACAGACGGCTAGGAGTTCAAGTGATTATTTTCATTTTTAATATATAACCCTAATGGATAGATAACAAAATATGTCCGTCACATAGATTAGGGATAGCTATTTCGGGAAAATTGATGGATCAATTCTGGACAACAGTGTTACTGTTTCAAAGTTCCACTTGTTTGATTCTTTGATGTATTAAAGAAATATAATCTTTAATATCAATCAGCTGAAATAATTAAAAGTGATTCTTTTACTGTCTCTTTGTAGTGTGTATTTTGGGGGCTTTATCATTATACCAATATCACTATCAGTTTGTTTAACATCCGCCTTTAGTGCAGACCTTTTCATTATCAATATAAACCATATAATGAATGTATGATTGACCCTCAAGTTGTAGAAAGGAGTGTTTCTCGAGGTTCAGTATAAACTTACTTACCCTCTATACTAATTACATCTAAACAGTCATTATCTACCATATCAAATAAAATACAGGTTCTAAGCGGTTATTATTCTTTCCTGATAATAAGATCTAAACTTGACATGTTTGTTTGGTGGTATTTATGAGCTTTCTCTGCCGACTCCTTATTCATACAATGTGAAAGTTCTTCAATCGGAATTTCAATATGTGATGTTTATAGAAGTAAAAAATAAAATAGACCTATACCTTACAGGATTATCTGATGATTACATGTTTTGCTTATATAAATCTGATTAAAATAAAAATCTATATTTCGTTTCGTTTATTTTTTACTTTCGATGCCTCCCACCCCACTAAAAACGAAACGAAAAAGGATCTGTGTTTTTATCAGATTGTACTTATCCCTGGAAAGCTAGGACAAGAACAATAGTTGACGTGGTCCAAATATTCACACAACATTAAAATATTACCGTATAGTATTAAACCAAAATATTACCGCAGTATTAAATCAAAACATTAAAATATAACCTTAGTATTAAATCAAAACTTTAAAAGTATTACCGTATTACCGTAGTATTAAACCAAAACATTAAAATATTACCTTAGTATTAACCACAACATGAAAATATTAGCGTAGTATTAAACCACAGCTTTAGAATATTACCGTAGTATTAAACCAAAACATTAAAATATTACCGTAGTATTAAACCACAACATTGAAATATTACCGTAGTATTAAATCCAAACATTAAAATATTACTGTAGTATTAAACCAAAACATTAAAATATTACCGTATTACCGTAGTATTAACCAAAACATTGAAATATTACCGTAGTATTAACCACAATATTAAAATATTACCGTAGTATTCAACCACAACATTAAAATATTACCCTAGTATAAAACCAAAACATTTAAATATACCGTAGTATTAAACCACAATATTGAAATATTACCATAGTATTTAACCAAAACATAAAAATATTACCGTAATATTAAACCATAACAATATTACCTTAGTATTAAACCAAAACATTAAAATATTACCCTATAGTATTAAACCAAAACATTAAATTTTTACCGTAGTATTAAACCAAAACATTGAAATATTACAATAGTATTAAACCACAACTTATTTCCCGGTTATCTTATCTTTCTACAGTATAACGTAATAACTAATAATTTTTCCTACCAAAGATATCATATATTAAATAAAAATTCTTTTGTTGTTCTGTATGAAAACTAGATTGTTTATGATCAAATGGTTTCAGATAGCATACGAATGACGTTATATCACTATTTCTATAATAATTCCATTCTGTTGTTTTCTGTTGTGGATAGCTTGGAATTAAGGAATTTAATGGACTATGTTAAGACTTGCGAGAGTGTATGTTATCAGTCCTTACATATTAGACTTGGAATAATTATTGACAGGACGATGCTATTTATTTACATTTGGTTTGTGGCTAAGCTTAGAAAATGTGTTGAAAATGCTATCAATTTGTTTTGAAATTATGTATGCTTTCCATTATAAGCAATTTTATGGTCATTTTGTATAGTGTAATCTGTAATAATTTAAATCGTCATAAATTAAAATTAGTTTTATTTTGTTTTATAGTGAAATCTGTAATTTATATCAAATTAGTTTTATTTTGCAGTTACTAAGTAAACATGTTATATTAAGCCTTGACATGGAATAACCCGAGTACAAGGATTGATTAATCAGGATTGACATTTTCTGTGGTAGCATTTATAGGTTATCTGTAGACAAATCTTATTAAAATTATACATTGATCTCTACTCAGACAATAAAACATGTTATTTCCATTCCTGGTCTCTCTAGTGCTGTTAAAAGTGGAATGATTACGTTTATTTGTTTAGTCTACAATGTGATATCGACAACCAACAATTGAACATCGATTTGTGTATAAAGCCAACTCATCATGAAAACTTTATTTGAATACCAGATATATCATGGATTTTAGCTGAGTTTGGGCGGAAAGTTTTCCATGTAGGGAATAATTTTTTTGTATTTAACGGGTTCAACAACCCCCAAAAGAGATTATTTTTCTAGATATATTTTCCTAGGTTTGATTGTATATGTATATCATCGATTTTAAAATTAAATTCTAAATTGACCAACCATTTGTCTATGTTCTTTTGTTATTACACACGGTGAATGAAATTTATCAAATGCACATTTCAATCCTTCATCAATAATGAATCCTAGTTTTTCAACAAATAAATTTTTATAACATAGATTATAATGACATTAAGATTTGTATTGGGAGTTGTATCCGGATTTCATAATTTTTATGCTTTTTTTATTTATTCTAGGAAAATGGACAAAATTGTGAAAGCCGCCAAAGAATCTCACAATTTTTACCAGGGCTTTACTCTCCATCGTGAAAAAGAGAAAGAATCGGATTCCGAACCCTTGCTGGTTTTCAACAAGAGACTTTTTACTTCACATACAAGTGCCGTAGTTATTACAAACGAAGCTCGAAAAATAATGGCGCGGAACGCCGCAGCTGGGAATGAAGACGTTCCAAGAACATTATCCAGAACGGAGCTCAGAGCCATGAAAAGTGTCGTGGAAGGACTCAAATTGATCCACAAGGGACAAGATCACGTTAAAGATGCACTTAGTTTGGTCGTTACTTATGAAACGTTCAACCAACACGAATACGTTACCAAATCAGCCGATGAATCCGAATCGTCTTGTTATTACGTATTAAACGGAGCCGTGGAGGTTACGTACGATATGAATTGTGGAAAGAGTCGTAGTGTTTATCAGCCGAACATTCTATATAATCACGGTACTGGGGAGTATATTGGACTGGTTTCTCCAGAAGGTACAGAAGACGATCTCTCGCCACCCGCCACTATGTATACCCGAGAACACAGCCAGTTTATCCGCATCAATCGCAACAAATTTCATGAAGTAGTAGAACATATTGTCGAGGTTTTATCAGAGGAAAAACGACAATTTCTGTCCAGTAATAAATGTAAATTGTCAATTCCCTGTGAAATTATTGGAAAGATAATTGGTAAATTGACAAAACAGGTAGAATTATTGTCTATTTCAAAGTTATATTATGATGTCAAAAATTATTAAGATTTCAAAATATTAGAAAATACGATACCATCTGCTTACCTTCTGCCATATGCAACTCTTATATCAAATGTGATATTTTGTTTTTTGATATTGTTTTTGATTTCCAAAGCACTTCTGACACAGTATATGAACCGGATTTGTTTTCCAGGAATATCCTCCTAACAAAGTTCTTATACACCAAGGTGAAATGTCGGACGAGATCTTTCTGATTGCTTCTGGTATGTATACATCAGTTATGGGTATAAATCTTTCGCTGATTAAAACTGGTTAGCAAGACACTTGTATTAGTTTTTAAAAAATATTGTACATACCAAAGCGACCAAGATTATAGAGTCCTTCTGAATCTGAATTGTCAAATGATGGACGAAAACTGAAGAAGAACTGTTATATTTAGAATGAAAAGATAGGTTGGAAGTGGCCATATATTGATATTTAGAGTCTCAACGTTGCGTCTAAGTAGCTGATATTTGTTAATTGTATCTTTATGTATAATATTATTTTAGGGAGATGTCGATTATCAAGAGAAATAACCTTACCAGATACACAGAAGACCGTGAAATTTGTTGTTGGAATTCTTGATTCGGGTAAGTGTATTGGTTGATTTAATGTGTCAGTTTGTGGCAGACCTACATTTTTAGAGGCCCTAAAGCTTAAAATTTTCTGGGGGCCCTTCGCAACCAACAACGAGATCTGTGTATTTATTTCGGTGGGGTTGTTCCTTTTAAGAAAAAAAACGTTAATTAAAACCTCGTCGAATTCATCCATTAACTTTACTATTCTAAGCAGTAACGGTTCCACCAATAGCGTAGACATGAACATTAGTTTCATAGTAGATCCATCCCAGTTCATCAATCGGCAGTTTGGGTAAACAAAGTAAAACCCCCAAGAATTCTGCTTACGCTACCGCAATGGAGTTAGTGGAGATTGCCTATCACGAATCGAGTAGATGTTGCTCCATCACGAATCGCAGACAGCTTGTATACAGCCCCATCACTAATCGTTTACAGCTTGCTCCATCACTAACCGTATGCAGCTTACCTCATCACTAACCGTAGAGAGCTATCCCCGATTTCTGCTCTCCTATCACCAAAACAGCAGTGTGATTTTGTTTTTCTTGTAGGTGATTTTTTTGGAGAAGAGTGTATACTTGATAGAAATGTTAGTTACTGCCAGGCTGTTACCACAACTCCTACCATTTGCTATAAATTACATAGGTGAGAACAATTTTCCTTGGACATTCTTTTTTTTGGGAGTGGGGGTTGCATGGCCGAATGGCTAAGGTGGACGCGTTGCATCACAAGGTCTGTCACCGAGTCAAATGGGGTGGTTTCGATTCCCCGCTTGAACGTGACTAGGAGTAGGGTCGCCTGTACAACCTCGTGAGTTTTCTCCGGCCCCCCCCCCCCACTGCCAAAGATCCCCACGTGCAAGCGAATTAATGAAATAAAATTGAAACATATGTTAGTCCCGAAATGACCTAGTTTGTGTCGAGTCTCTATGGAAGCATGTCTCTATGTAAGAATGGCATTACCACTCCACTATTCGTTTCTTACTTCGGTTCAAAGATACAATAGAATTTTTAAATTATTTTAATGAAATGGTAATCTAACACGTAATGCAAACGCCCTGTTTTCTCATCATAGATCTGCACTAGAAATTGTTCAGAAAGAATGTCTCAGGAATCTCATCAGCCAGTCTAGAAACGAGTACCCGGATGATGGTGAACTCTTTGAGAAAGGTCACAATTCTTGTGTATGGAATTCCTACAAACACCGTCAGATAAAAACATCATTAGAAGAACAGGGGAAGCTGCAATATCTATTTGTTTCAAACTCTAAACGTGTTAGATATAAATCATTATCATCAGAGTAAGTATTAATTTAGACTTATGGAAGTGGAAGAAGATTGTCCACAGACTTTAGGGGGATTGGATGGCCGATTGGTTAGCACGCGCGCGCTGTATCATACGGTCTGTCATTGAGTCAACTGGCGGGGTTTCGATTCCCCGGTTGTACGTGACAAGGAGTAGGGTCGCCTGTCCAACCTCGTGGGTTTTCTCCGGGTCCTCTGGTTTCCTCCCACCGCTAAAGACCCCTACGCGCAAGCGAATTATAGAAATAAAATTAAACCATATGTTGGTCCCGAGTTGACCTAGTTTGTGTCGAGTGGACGTTAAACCCCATTTCTCTCTCTCTCTCTTTCTCTCTCTCTCTCTCCACAAAATTTACAGGTAATGTTCAAGAAATGAAAGGGGATTCAACGTCCTAATGGTCTGCATAACCGGTATAATGATGACGGACATACGCCATGCAGTGTGCTATGAAGGAAATTTTGTCCGGACAGCGACGCCACGGTCTACTCTTATTTCGAATTCCAACTGTCAAATGGTGTTAAACGCATACAAATCTGCTGAGTGGCTTTTCTCTTATTATAGTTTTTGTCGATTTTTGATATTGTTTTAGGTTGTCCTGATTTGTTACTCTAATTACATATATTTTTTAAAGGACAATATTTAACTTTCTGTTTCGTTTATTTTGCATATTACATAGTAATTTATACAGAGAAAATATGTATCGCTTTATGGAAAATGGCGGGAGATATAAGCCAATCTGTAGAAGAGCTCAATCTGCTATTACAATAAACACATCTAAACAACACGAGCTACCACCACGTGCCACAACAGTTCTTGGCACAGTGACGTCAGACGTCGGCGAAAACAGCTTCCTTGACGAAGCAAATGATGGTTTGTATGCCTATATTAATTAATACCAGGCTGGTTAGTGTAAAATATAATATAATGCCCTCTACCCTTGTTGAAATCTGCAGTTGGCTCTAACTTTTAGACTTTACCGAGTATGTCTGCCCTCCATTGGGGTCATTCTCCAGTACCAGAAGTTCTGTGCTAAAGATAGAACCCCAACTACCGTCAAAATTCATTTACACATTTCTGTGAAATAAACTACGAACTGCGAATATCAATTTAATAAATCATTAATTAGAAGAAATTAAAAACAAATATGATAATTGTATTTGATGAAACTTAAAATCTTTTAATCTGTAATTTCCAGCCCAAAATCTCCGGTGCGTAATAATTAATTTCTCAAACTTTCTTTTTAGGCTTGGATGTGAAAGCATCTGCTGAGAAAAGAGATGAAACGTTAAACGTGAAGTTTCCAACGGAAGTTTCCACTTTATTAGAAAGACAGGTACGTTGTGTATGACGTTATTGAAAAAGACATTCTGCGGTTTTATAATGTTATCATATTTCTGACGATCATCCCAACTGCCGTTATTGATTGAGGATTTGAGTCAGTGACTATAAGGACAATGATTTAGTTATATTCTGATGTGTTGTAATGTAGTTCCTGTTGTGTCATTCTGTGGCCTGGAGGGACCGGAACCCGCAAACTACACAAATGTTCAAGTGTATTGCATCATGTAGACCCATAAGAGATTTGTAATGTGACCTTAAATTAATCGCCTAGAAACTTAATCGTCTAGACTCCTTGGAGGTAGCAAATCAACGACCTTCGCTTCCTCTAAACCTGTGTAAACCAGTTCATATTTCAGCAAATAGAGATGATAGAATTATGATTTTTCCAAGATATATTACAGGTTTTTCGATCAATTGGAGAGTTGACTGGGAAATGAACATAAATATTTACATATAAGTTGATTTAAAAAATAGTTATTTGGATAAAGTGTTAAAAGTATAAAAACTGAGCGCAGGCACAGTTACAGTATGCAGGGGGGGGGGGGGCGTCACTGAAGCTTTTGCCCTGGGTCGCCACAGACTTGAGAGGGCCCTGCATGCATGATGTAAAACGACAATAACAATACGTTTAATCATTATCAAGTTTATGCGTGAATCGTTAATCTGTTTTAGGTTCCAAAAGAACGATTAAGGAAAATCATTAAAAAGGGAAATACGGTAAGATCAAATATATGTCCTTTTTAACGTACCATGATTAGCTGGTAGTGTCATTATTAATTGAATATCTTCCAAACAGAAAACGTTTTTCAAATACTTTTAACATTGTGAACAATTCTATTCCATTTAACACATTTTTCTGTTAATATTTTGTAATGTTATATTTATCCACGGAAACGCTGGCTATAAGGAGTGATGAATATTTCCAAATCTTGAACCATAGGGTGTCCATCTTGGAACTTCCAGTCCATATCCGGTTTATGTGCCTGTATGTCATGATTGACTGATGATAACTTCTATTCCTTTGCAACCATAGAACCGCGAATCGCCGATCTAGACAAATCTTTGCATACAGGACAGTAGGTGTTCTATCGTGGAATACCTAATCAAGATACTATATGTGTAGCCAAACCAAGAGCAATGTGTATATCCCCGAATCTTCAAATTATGTTTCTTTTACAATAATTTATATATAAACAGGAACCTGATAGTAAAGAGTTAGTAAAACTTCTGGCAGAAAATGTGGATTTGGGTCGACAATTAAAGATGGCATGGGAAGATCACGAGAAGGAAAATACCGGATTTACTGTAAGTATTTAATTGTTTTTTATTCACTATCCACCGAGTCGGTTCGCCTCGATATATTCCACTATTTAATGTTCAGAATACATTCCTGACCAATGACCCCGTATTTTTCTCTCGCTACTCCTTTCTACGGTTGAAGGTTAATGTAGACAGTTACTATAATATATTTAAAGTCAAAATAGAACAAAAATACAGTCAGATTTGACCAAAAATTATTTTAGTTGCATTTGATCATTTTTTACATAATTATTACTTTTGTGGTTCTATATTTTGTAGAAGACAGGCGTATTGGCTACCATGACAACAGAAGATATTGTACGTAAAGCCAAGGCATTAGCTGAGAAACAGTCCACAAACATCCACAGTAACGAAGCCAGTGATGATGACGATGATAGGTAAGGCTGCTATTCTTTCCGGCGTGGTTCCACCTTATCAGTGGTGCAGAACGGAGGGCCTGGCAAGGGACAATGTATAGTCTTCATGATGTGACATTGGCGTGCACGTAAAATATCCCTCGAGAGTTGAAATTCGAAATAAAAGTAGGCCGTAGGCAAAAATTCCCTCATAACACTCTGTATTGCGTAGGACTGTTTTCATTAGCCCAGTCGGAGCAGAAGTTTAGGAAGTTAAACTCTATTTCATTTCAATCTGTGACCTTCAGAGTCCGGAAAGGTATATGGTTTTTGGGTACGGTAGCATATAATCAAAGTCGGACAATAATAGTCAGAATCGTTAGCACTTGTACTGAAGAACAAATGTTAACAGGACCAAATCGGGAAATAAATAAAAAAAATGTTTGGCTTTCATTCCCCACCCTAATATATTTTAATATCTAGAGATACATGTTATAAATGCTCGGTTCTTCAGTTGTGGGGCGGGGGGGGGGGGGGTCCAATGGTTAGCGCGTACAAGGTCTGTCACTAAGTCAACTGGCGTGGTTTCGACAAGGAGTGGGGTCGCTTGTCCAACCTCGTGGGTTTTCTCTGGGTCCTTTGGCGGTTCCTCCCACTGCTATATGTTAGTCCCGAAATGACCTAGTTTGTGTGTGTGTGTGTGTGTGTGTGTGTGTGTGTCTCTCTCTCTCTCTCTTTCTCTCTAGTTGTGCTATAGAGACATGATTATAACATTTGAGCTCTTCAGTTTAACTAGTTTTAAAGCTGTAAAAATGATTTACAGTTTGACAAGTAAGATGTAAATACCATAGATAATAAGTAATGTAAATATTGACTGTCTCCTATAAAGAAATCATATTGTCAATATCGTGATATAATAATACAATACAAACATATTATACACTCTAAAATTATATGCCGCTACATTTACACAAAATACACTCCCATGTTTTTATATACAGAACTGTAGGGAGTGTGTTATTTTTGGGGGGTTTGAAGCATTGGGGACGAACTCTATCGATATTCGGCGTTCCGTGACCTTCCGTTTCGGAGTTATACCCTCTTTCCCGAAAAGCCTGTGAACGCGATAGGCGCTACAGTTTTTAACGGGATTTTGTTTTCAAATTTGGCGTGAAGCATTGAATTGTTGGATGAACCCTGTTGATTTGGTGGAAAACATTGGGATTGGAGAAGAGTTTTTGGACTTTCTGTTCTAGAGATATTTTACATGTCCGGAAAAGCTTGTGAACACGATATAAATTAGATTTCTTGAAGACCTAAAGGGTCCTTATTGAATTTGGTGAACATCCGAGTTTTTCTTGCTGTCTATGGTAATTGTCTTTTGTTTGAGACATAAATGTTGTGTGGGTGTATTGCGCGGCGATATTTAACCATGATACAGCAAGGTTACAAATGATCATAACCCATTTAGACCCACTGACAACATTATGTGGCCAAATATATTTCTCCCACTTGTGTTGACTCGCGTAAGGGCGTTTACACAAATTTTATAGTGTATAGATATCGAGATTTTTACTACTAGTTTATGACATGTAAGGTACAAGATATCTTTTCTCGTTCTCCTTTAAAATAATTTAAATCAAACGCCTTTCTTCAATAGGACTCAAGTAGGTGTATAAGTAGGCCATACTTCATAACCGTATTTTATTTTATTTGAATATTGCCACGTATTTGAAAAAAAAACCCTCTTTAATTTCAGTCCAGTTTCTATCAAAAGAATGTTAGTCTGTTGCCCTTTGGTCCGTTGGTACCTCAGCATCGTCCTGTATGCACTCTAAAGAGTTAAGTTCTTAACCGATTTACATTAACGTTTCCGTACTATTTATTATTGAAAATGTAGTTCCCGAGTTATTGCCTTTGGCTAAGTGATTATTGCGCACCCCATGGAGAACAGTTCCCAATCGGAGGATCACTATGGATTACCCCAACAACAATTCCACAGATATTGCCCTGATCATTTATAACAAACACACACCACAGTGTCGCATCACATTTTCAGAAGCCTGTATTATTGACATACTGATGGAACAGAATTATTTTAACCCGATATGTATTGCCCATGTCCGTCAGTCAAACGTCTTGTAAATACTTTGCAGGTCAGAGTTTTTGCAACTTTTGTTCAAATTTGTTAGACTCATTTAGCGACTCATAGTTTTGAAGTTTCTGTCCATGAAATTGAAATCTTGCCACCCTGCGATTTCTGTTTAAAATAACTCAGATTCTGGAGCTATCCCTCAAGACTTGAAACTTTAAAAGTGGGACAACCTATATAAAAAGCCCGGAAGACTAAGCTTGTGGGTATGTAATTCATTGTCTGGCAACCTATTTCTAAAGAATTACTGAATCTTTTTAATTTTTACAGATGGAACACAGTACTTCATGAGGAGAACAGAAATGCTAAGATACATATCGCTGCAAACAAATATCGTGTAGCGGTGCTGAAGAGAAAAATGAACATTTTAGCCCGGCGAAAACAAAAAGAGTCTTCGGAGAACATCAATAGTAAAACATCCCAGGAACATTCAAAAGAATCGCCTCTCATACAGTTCGCATTAACAAGAACTGCACCGAGCTCCGTAGAAAATGACCAAATGTCTGAGAGTTCATTACAGCGCGACGAAATGCCACACATAACAAATACATACGAAAAAAAGACTGATGAAAGATTAAGCTCAATAAAAGAACCGAGTGTCTTTAATTCTAGACCAACGACTTCCAGCTATGAAACAAGACGACCTCGAAGAGTGTCTTTTGGTAGTGATATAAAGAAGGATCCGCCTCCACCAAGTGCTGTCACCGTGCATGAAAATTTAAGAAAAATTCCTTGCAGTAGAATAAATATAACTGGCGGGAAAAATAAGAATCCTCAGGTAGATTTGAGAAAAATAATTACAAAAGATACTATACCAAAACTTTAAAGGGGCAGACCAGATTTCGTATGCAAATATTTGATTACCATGGCGAATCCTTCAAATTCCGAATGAAAATATTGATCATACTGATCCCTTTATGGTGGCCTTATGTTTGAACTGAATAAAACTTCAGCTTCAGATCAATACAATACGTTGTAGCCCAGGAGTGATTGGGATACTTGGAAGAGGGGAAGAGTAGTTGAGTAAGTCGGTCATAGGTTCATTCTATATTATATGTGGTATTTTTATTTTCACAAATTTGCACAATAATTCTTCTTCTTTTTTTCCGAACGAAAACCATGCACTCCGAAGCATGAAAAATAACTAACTTTACTGATTTTGTTGTTACAGGAAATGCCTTTTGTAAGAACAGAAATTAACAAAGATGATCTGCCAACATCTTCCGCCATTACGTCTACTGATTATAGACGACGACATCATTCATTCTCTTCATCTCTAACACAGGTATGTTCAAGTCCCAATATCAACTGTTGTTCTCCGTAGCTTTGATTTTTCTTGTGTCCATAAACTCCTACCTGTGAACTGGGTGGGGCGTCAGATACCAATTGATACGACAGGTATCAGTTCTGCATTGTTCAAATATATTGTCTAAACATGTATTAACCATGATTTTCGGGCCGTGGCGTGATCGTGCCTACGATAAGAGGTCAGACGTTGGACGTCCTGACGGCATCAGCTGTTCTCTCTGTTCCCTGATTTAATCTCCTGTTGGAGAAAAACACAAGTACACCCGGTCCAAAACAGATTGTTTCGAACAGTTGCACTTATTCTACAAGGGACGTAACTCTGTCGGTTGTCCCGAGGTTATTTTCCATGCAGGCGAAGTGCCTCTAGCTCTGAAATGCCTTGACAAATCATCTGACTATCGCATCACTTTTTAATCACCGCGTCTTCTAAGGCCGCTATCCGTTAGCTACCCTCGGGAGTAGGGACACCAATATTATCATATTGGCTAACCCCGATGGACTTCAGGCCGGAAAGATTGCAGAAGATTGCTATGAAGCTCAACCATATGGCAGTTGTGGCTTGGCTACAACCAAGGGAAGCTAACGGTTTTTATAATTATGTGGATTTACCTAAGGTACGTTCATTTTTATAGCGATAATGACTCTTTAATATGCGCATTTTATATGTTTTTTCAGGAAAAACCTGAAAGACCCAAAACAAGTACAGGTGTACGGTATAGGAGTATCAGTTCGTTAATGAATCGTAAATATCATATAGAACCTTCAACGGTTAAACATATATCAAAATCATAGCATATTCACATGTATTATATAAAAATTTGCTATATATACTATTCAAAAAAAGTAGGGGATATTTGATTTTTAAGTGTTATTAAAGTCACCTAATGAAACTGACGAAGAAACAAATGACAAAATGAAATGAAGTTCACATTCATCGATTTATTCCAAATGATCGTTAGACTAAGTAAGGCACAGACTGACCATTATAAGGGTAAAATGATACCCGGGGTCAAACAGCAAAGTTACCACAGCATCACAACCAAGTCAGTAACGGGTAAATCCTCCTCTGTTTGCCAAACAAGCATTGATCCGACGTGGCATACTCCTAATGAGACGTCTAAGGTCATTTTGGTCCAGATTGTCCCATTCCTGTTGCAACGCAGCAACAAGTTCTTGGACATTGGCAGGACGTTGTTGACGTTGACGTAACCTCTGTCCAAGCATGTCCCAGACATGCTCGATGGGGGAGAGGTCGGGACTCAGTGCTGGCCAAGGTAGTGTGGTGATGTTCTGTTGTTGGAGGTAACCTGTAACGATCCTGGCCCTGTGACATCTTTCGTTGTCATCCTGGAAGATGAAACGGCGGCCATGACGTCGTGCGAACGGCACAACATGGACTGCCAAGATGTTGTCCCGGTAGTACTGGCCTGTAACACGCCCTGCAACAACATGTAAAGCCGTTCTTCCAGCAACAGTGATGCCTCCCCACACCATAACAGAACCACCCCCAAATCGATAATGTCTGATGACGTTAACGTCTTGGAAGCGCTCGTTTCGACGACGCCACACCCTCCTACGTCTGTCCAAAAAATCAACAGTGAACCTTGACTCATCTGAAAACATCACATTGCTCCAGCGTCGATTATCCCAGTGTTGACGATCCCTACACCAACGACGTCTTGCCTGAATGTGATGATCTCTCAAACAAGGGATCACGCGAGGACGTCGGGCGCGAAGGTGACCCCTATGCAGTCGATTCCGAATCGTCTGGACACTCACTCTCACACCAGTGTCTGTTTGAAGACGAGCGCTGATCTGATTTGCTGTGATGACACGATTTCTCAAGGCCAAGGTACGGATAAATCGATCCTGGGCTTGAGTTGTCGCCCTTGGTCGACCTGAGCGTGGTCTGTCCTGTACAGATTGTGTATCACGGTATCTGGACCATAGCCTGCTTATGACAGACTGAGAAACATTCATCGTCCGCACCACAACCGCCTGTGTTGTGCCGATCTGTAGCATGCCAAGGGCACGTAACCTTTCATTTTGGGTAAGCCGACGCATATCAAAATTTGTTTTCTGGTCACTAAAACAATTAAACTGATGTTTCCACCCTGGAATTCAATGCCACAATGACTGTAACATTCAAAGTCAGAGTCGTGCAAATCTTGGGTTGGACCCCCATGATGATCCCAAGCATCACCTGCATTCCATGCGGTAGCTATTGGTGCGTTTGGGCGTCACATGTAACTGGAAATGTTTCTTTTGTTAGGTTCTATAGTGACTTTTTTCGTAGTCATTTGCATATTTTAGTATTATGCCCCCAAAATCAAATATCCCCTACTTTTTTTGAATAGTATATTACCTTATAGTACTAAAATAAATGATTAAATTATAATAAAAAATGTTACATTTAATATATAGTTGGACTTGGGAATTGGGGTAAGAATGGCGGAGGCGATAAAATTGGGTATCCTGTTTCCGCCCCTCGTTTCTTCTGGTCGTCGTCTCTTCTTTTATACTGTTTGAAACCCCAATAACTTTGAATATACGTTCTTTATCACCGCTACTCACCATATCAACACCATCCTCACATATTTAAGTAGCTTATCGCAATCTGATTAACTCGCCAACATTTTGTCAATCAATTTTGTATTGGATTGTAAGTAACGAATAGTAAACTATAAATAGTATAAGTATAATATGTAATTCCAATTTCAAATGAGGGGTTTATTCGAACTATAACGTATTTGATAATACCCATTAATTCATTTTATAGCACCATACTGCCCCTGGTGTTCATAGATTAATAGCGCAGGCCTTTGAATTAATGTGGGCCGAGATTATGATTGCTATAGTGTCATACATGTGGAAGCATTCTGTTAATTTCGAGTAAATTCTGGGATTTAGTATTCTTTCTTTACGAGTGTAACCACTCAGAGGTGTTGAATACCCAATTCGTGTCCTATAGTAATTTTTTTTAGAAAAACTGATCGGTGAAGGCCAACTCAACCGACTGCGTTCTCGCGCCACTGGTTGTTTGATTATCACTTTAAACAACGTAGATGCTATATCGGTCCCTCAAAATTAGAGAGGAGTTTGGCCCCCACAGTTGGTTTACGTATTCATTAATACTGATTGATTGCTAGATAGCTACATGTATGCTACTGCTAGGGTTTGGGTTTCCGCCTAACTAATACATTAGTATATTCATACCACGAGAAGGAGAGCCACGGTAGGTCAGTGAGTAAGATATTGGCTCTCTAACCAGGAGGTCCTTTGTTCGATCCCTTCGTTGGCCGAAAAAGTTCATTGGAATTTTCCGGTGTAGTTCCTCCTTGTCTGTGGTGTAGGACCAGACAAGCGACAACGTATACTCGTTTGAATGGGGCGGAACACCGAAGTCCTGTGTACACATTTGTGTGCACTTTAAAGAACCCTTGCCAGTTGGAATTCGAAATAAGAGTAGGCCGTAGCGCCGCAGTACCAGCAAAATTTCCATCATAACACACTGCATGGCGTACGCCCTTCTTCATTAGCCCAGTCGGAGCAGAACAGTATCGACGCTAAACCCCATATCATTTCATGAAAACCAATGATAAGCTCCGCTCCTTTTCGCATAATTGGGATGACGATTTAGCACCCCACATTTAAAGCAGGGCACACTAAATTAACCAGGTTTCTTCAAGGTGTCAGTGGACAAACCCCGGTATTGACTGAGAAAGTTCCCGGAGATTATCTAGCGTGGTTTCCTTCAGTGGTGCAGAACGGAGGGTCTGACAACGGAACGGTGTCTAGTCGTGTGGCTGGGACGAAAAATTGAGATCTCCGTGTACATGCTGGCGTGCACGTAAACATCTCTTGTCAGTTCGATTTCGAAATAAGGGTAGGCCGTAGTGCCGCTGTCTGGGCAGAATTTCCCCAATATTACACTGTATGGCTTACGCCAGCCTTTTTTTTACACCAGTAGGGCACATTTCATCTCATAAAATATATATTGGACCGCTTCTTTTAAGATAAAAGATCAAACAATAAAACACAACACAACAGGTATTTCCCTTTTTTTTTCTTATATTAATCTATAAATACATATTCAGGCACCATTATCTAAGTGAATAATATTTACAAATATTTATAGATTATTGACATTAATTAAACAACCATCAGCAGTGGCGGACGCATACTATTTGGTAATGACTTGGCCTGTATGCCTTGATCTGTTCAAAATTACAACTGACCAACTGTTGTAACACTTTATGACAGCCAACCAGCTCTTATTTCCTAACAAATGTCTCAATGTTTGGTTTGAAATTCATCCTGTAACACCGATTCTTCAAAATATGTCATGGGTGGGGGTAGGGTACTTCTTTTGAATATACGTAACAATAAATTAAAGGTCATAGGATACATGAATGATTTTACCCCGCCATTTTACTCGCGAATTTCAAACGGGTCCCCAGATCCATTCACTTGATCCGCGTTTTTTCTTTGTGTCTTGTCAGTATGTTTGTCTTGTGTAATTGTTTGTGTGTGGTGCAGTTCCCCTGGACTTACTATTAACCAATATCTGTCCTTAACAAAATTATTTTCTTAAATTTTTACAATTTTTAAACCGCTTGTATCAATTGGTTTCAATTTCCAGTCATTAAATTAATGGAAAGTCAGACAAAAATAAATAGTAGTTTTGTTATTATAACCTTAAAACCGGTTATCAACTACCTAAATTTCATTATAAAAATATATGATTATTTTTGTGCAAGCGTCTGTGATAAATTCATAATTTAATAAAGCACAAATTTAAAACAAACTAAAAAAAAACCCCAAACTATGCGCTAATTTATGCTGGAGCGCCAGCAGTTGCACCCGCCATTTGCCTTTGCATCTGTGCTATATTACTTGTCATCATCTGGTACTGGTTGATTGAATTGGACAGAGCTGAAAAAAACAAGAACATCCATGTTTGTTACATTTATTACAGGTTGGCATATTGTTTTGTTCTAAAGTAGATCTTCATATCTATAATGACATTAACCTAGACAGACTTCCGGTCGACAAATACTATTAAAGATCCATTAGGTAAAATTTAGATAAAGAGTTAACCGTTCTTGCTATAATAGTTTCAAAATAGATAATAAAAAATGAACATTTTGAAAATTTCAGTCAAATCATTTTATTCTGAGCGAAATTATGAATGTCTGAAGTTTTGACAAGAAATCGCGTAATTAGTCTCGATTGTCAAGTACCATTGCTACGATAATAAACATGGTCTTTATTTTCCATTTCAACGTTTAGCAAAGATAATCAGCCATCCAATGGTCTAAGAGAGTTGAATGTGGACTTGTCATGTGAATAAATGTCTAAATAATAATTACCAATTGAAGTCAGAAAAAAGAACTGCAATAGGCAGATTTGGTTCTTACATAATGCATCTTTTAATTATTTCGCGATAATGTATACTAATTTGAATATTATTCGATCGACTTTTCCCACAGACTTTAGCTAGACAGAAGAAGTGAAGTCCTGCATTGAGCTATCCATAATGATTGACAGCCACTGAACGACGACTCATCTGGATAACGGAGTCGATAGGCACATCCGGGTTATGGCTTTTTTGTCAAACAATATCAATCAAAGACAAACAGGACGGCCCAAGCTGTCTTTGCTAAGGAAAAGACCCCAAACCCTCGAATGGTTGCGAGAAATTAAAAAAAAATATAAATAATAAAAGCCACAAGAATGCGACCATTAAATCGGATAATTATTTGGTCAGTTATATATAGGACATAATATACGTCGTTGTGACAAACGAATTTCATTTCTAAACAGACATGACCAAGAGCTATACACGTTGATGTTAATAAAGCGGGGAGGGTCAGACACAATGATATATAAGATACGAGATGACCTAAATGTAAAGTTTACCGCTGATCCTATATGCCCAGGTAATTTGACAGGCTCAGAAAAGACAAATGGAGGAATGACAGATCGTGTCGTTTATTTACAAGAATTTCGTGGGCCAGTAAATCTCCATCGTTAGTTTCGTATAGAGCAGAACGTTGATGGCTCGTTCCTCTTTTGATGATTTGACATTTGTTTGCTAATTGTATAAATTATACAATACCTTTCCTAAAGATACTAAACGTTTAGATTATATGAAATAACGATATATCTATATAAGCAGACAGCTATGATTTACGATTTAATGTGTAACAGAATGGGGTAAAGTGGTTGATTTTTTTTAACTAAGCGTATTTTTATTCATTTATTTCTTTGAATATTTCCATTTAGTACAACGTGACCTGTCTTCCACTTGCCATGTATAGGCCTTAACTCTCTAACTGATATTCTATATATTGTTTTAACTTAAAGCTAGCATAATAATATATAGTTCTATATTTATATAATGGTAAATAGCTTAAGCCCGTGTATTCGCTTGTACAGTTATTAAACGAGGCAGACTTTACAGGGTTTACAGATTTAATTAGAAGTCTGATTCCAGGCTTCTCGCTCATCCGAGCAAAAACTTGACTGGAATAAATGGACATCGAGTTTGGGTCTGGAATCTTATTACATTCACAATTTACTGACTTGGAAGACCCACGACGACGCATTAGCAGTGCATATGTACATGTCTTAAAATAGTTTTTTTTTCAGATTAACAATAAGATTTCTCAGACAAAATTATGACAGATAAATAACAGTATGAATAACCGAACAGGGTATAGGAATTTTTAGAATGCACTTAATGGGTTGAGCAAGAGATCAGGTATTTGTCATTGTACAAGTATTTAACCACTGGCAACATATATGGCGGCAAATATATTACAATAATGGTTTATAATTTATAATAATAATAATGATAGCAGAAATAATACCATATGTAAATTGCGTCGAAAAGCGTTAAATATATTATGGCTATTGTTTATACTGCGTCAACCTCGGCATACATACCACCTTAATTAAAACAATCGTTGAAGTTGTTGCATTTGCTCCATGTTAAGGTTGTTGAAACCTATGTAATATGTAATATGCATTTTTCTTATATGGCAATGAACAAGGCAGTCTTGACAGTTATATTCAACCGTTAACAAGGAGACGACACTGGCTAGTTCGTTCTTCTTGGACCTTTTAAAGTGTCACACAACCAGGCTAAGGCATGGGTAGACCTAAGCCTCACATAGCTGGTTTAGATATCGATCACTGGGTTGGAACACAAATCGCAGTGTATCGTATATTTTAATTAACAATATCCATTGGTAAACAATCACAGACTCACCCATCATGAAATACAGAGGAATAACAAATTCCCAAGATCAACTCCTGTTTAAGTACCTGTATGTTTGAATTAAATATACTACAAACTTATACAGGGCCGGATTAACCTTGTGCGGGACCCGGAACTAGTCAATGATTAACCTTGTGGGGACTCGGGGACAACTCAATGCTTAACTTTAGGAGGACCCTGGCAATGAGGGTGGGGGCGGGGCTGAATTAAGAAAACAGCGTAGGGTCCAGAAAACCTTGAAGAATAGATTGGATTTGGTGAATCTACGGGAGATTCTGGGCAAATCCTTTTTAAAGTCACTAATATAAGATTATATAAGAAACTTTTAGCCAGAAATCGACCAATTTACGAACCCCAGTCAATCGTATCAATTCAAAAGCTTTTGGGATTGAGATTATACTGAGATTATAGTAAAATCTTTAAAATATAAAAGCCTGCGTTAGGTCGTGATATCTCCATACATTATATTACGAACTATAAAGTTTTGTCATTGTCAAATTGCTTTGCTTTTATCATTCATATTAGTTTTCCACAGTCTATTATTGGATGACAGTCCTGACAAATTATGAAATATAAACATTTGTATTAAAGGCTGACATAAAATTACTTACTTATAAATGGATCCGGTGGGTTGTAAACAGGCCATTTTCGGGATTTAATTTCATACCAATGTCCGTCAGATTTTAATTTTGCTCTACAAAAAATAAATAGGGCTTTTAAATTGAAAGGGGTGATCGTGGTGGAGGGTGGGCGTTATTCTCATATCTGTAGCAATATTATCTAAAATTCAATGACCATTCAAAAGGTATTATAAACCAGTTATAGTGCTAGCCGTTATAGAAAAACATATTATGAAAATAGGTTATATCTCAAGCACTTCCGGTTAGTAGTGATACAAAGAAATTTCTAATTAATAATGATTACTCAGAAATAGCTTATCTCAAGTAATTCCGGTGATACAGAAACATACTTTTAGAATTAAAGATCATTACTTAGATATAAGTACTTTACGGTTAGTAGTGATACAGAAACATACTTTTAGAATTAAAGACCATTACTTAGATATAAGTACTTTACGGTTAGTAGTGATACAGAAAGAATACTTTTAAAATTAAAGATCGTTACTTATCAAATGGAATGGACTGGGATTTAACACAATACTTCGGTAAATGTGAGAACCGGGTTTGGTCGTGAGGCTAGAGCACTAGCGCTAGACCGCCTACGTTATTTGCTAAATCAAAGAAGAAAACGTCTACTTACGTGAACTGAACCATAGTTGCACCCATAGTCATTTCAGTTGGATACCACAAGAAACCGGCATATTGTCTAATGGCAGATTGACGCGTATTCCAGAAGTTGTCGTTGGGTTTTAAAGCTCGGCTAATTAAAATTCTTCTTTCTTCGGCGCTTCCTACAGCATCGGGGCCCATAGCGTGTGGGTCACACATAAATCCTTGTCCACCAGCTGAATACCGAGGCATAATCTTAAAAACACCCAACAATTGTGGACTTATTCTTGTATTGGGAAATAAGTTTACTGTCCCAGAAAACTCTGTAGCATAAATGATAAAATCTGTAAAATTATCTGGTTGGTATTTTGTCCATGGTTTTATGGCAACTGAAAAAATAATAACAATTATTCGAATATTGCAATGCTCAACAATTTTGCTATTAATATTGACACAAATTCTATGGAAAATAACGATGGTAACAGTATGTCTATTGGATTTAGAGTTTTTGTACAGCAGGTGTAAGAAGATCATCGTGTGTTTACATAGCCACTGGAATACAACACGGTTTTGTTCATTACTCACTTTGATTTATTTTACGTTTAAGCAATCCCGTTGAAAACATGTCCAGAAAATAGACTTTCATACAATGTTAATCATTACGTGTATTAATGAAACGGAATGATGTATAATCGGGGTGCAAATTGGTTAAAAGCTTCTTACTGTTTTCCACTGAAAACATATAGAAGGCAATCTAACCAAACTCTTTTCTGGAACCCTAAATTATAAGCTTTGCGGGGAGAGAACGGGTTGCAGATTGAATTTAGTCGGTTTTGTTGATACACAATTATTAAAAGTGAAATTAATATTTACCTTCAATTGGATATCCTCTTCTGACTTCACTATAAAAGCCTTCTGTACTAAGTTTAAAAGGGGCGTTGTTGCTGCCCCAAATACTTGTTCGGGACCTAAGATATTGACACGCATCTGCTAATTTCTGCTGTCCACCTAAAAGCTGATTAATATTAGGAGTCGCTCCTGGGCCCATTGCTTGACCCCCAACGTTGGGACCGAAAGAAGCCTGTCCACCACCGAAAGCGGCCTGTCTAGGAAACTGACATTGAATCTCAAGTATAACGATGAGTGCGAACACCACTAACACCATTTCTTTGTGAAGTCGATCCATAGTGTCAACTGTATCTCTGCCAGCCGCAAATCGAGCACTGACGATGTTGACGTCCAGATTCATTTAAACCCCTCTGTTGACACGTGACTTGTCTACGGGCCATGATTCATTGTTTCAGTAATTCTGAGATGTTAAACAAATGACCCACAATTAGAATTTACGATGTTTAAATACTTGTTTGGATGTTGATATAACATTTATTAATAGGATTTCAGGGCATTTACACGGATAAGAATGGATTAATTAGGCAGAAGGAAGGCAATGGATAATAATAGTCTAGACGATCAATGCATCGGGTTGTGAAAATGAAATATAGAGACATTGAATTAAACGGACATCATCGTAGAAGACCCACAAATGTTAAAAGTTCTTTGAATTTATTATTCTCATGTGTAGTATTCGTACACTTTCCATTATGTTATGTTGGACCACACTTTTTAATAGAAAAATGTTGACGATATGGGATACAAAGGAAACAGTTACGCGCAGGATAATGTTTGACGATGTCGGATACAAAGGAAACCGTTACGCGCAGGATAATGTTAACTAAAATCTAAAAGTAGTAATATAATTTACCGCAAGAACCGGGGTTGGGAGGTGGGGGGGGGGGTATTTCCATTTTTGGGGCATTGTATTTCCGTTGTTTGGGCACAGACACCAGACAATGAGTTTAATGAAATGCTATAATACCTAAGTGAAGCTTTGTGGAAACTCATTTTAGTTAATGATTGATTCATTCTGAAAATTCGGGTGAGAAAGAACATTTTCGGACAAATAGACTCAGCACCACCACCCCCCCCCCCCCACACACACACACACACACCCACACCCCTTGGTAATTTCAGTCGTTGCTGCTAATTGTTACTGATGCAGAATGGGGTATCTGACAATGAACAGTATCAAGTGGTTCGAATACCACGAAAAATCGAGGCCCGTATATACATTAGCGTGCACGTAAAATAACCCTTGATATTTGGAATTCGAAATAAGACAGGGGTAGGTCGTATCACCTGGTAAAAGTTCTCCTATAGTAAACTGCATGCCCGTCCATATTATCCCAGTCGGTGTAGAAAAGTAGGACGTTAAATCCGATTACATTTCATTTTATTTTTAGTATAACTTTCACCATGTGCAATCACAAATGCTCTTCATTCTGTTTTGAATTAACAAATCAAGACGGTGGATGTAATTATTTTTGTTTATCATCAGCAATAATAGATAAACAAACCAGCAGCACGTGCTAATTTAATACCAGCTGTTGCATAAAATATTTTAGAGTATGCGCACCTTTAAATTTGAGGGTCCACTGTGGATCATTGAGTAAGACGTTAGCTCGCTAACCTGGAGGTCGCGTGTTTGATCCATGTATTGGTCGAGAAGGTTCATTGGTATTTTCCAGTGTGGTTAACCCTTGTCAGTAGTGCAGGACAAAGTGTCTGGCAAGGGACAACGTATACATTGGCGTGCATGTATAGGATTCCTTGGCGGTTGGAATTCGATATAAGAGTGGGCCATAGCACCGTTGACCGGGAAAACGGAGCCGAACAGTAGGACGCTAAACCCCATTTCATTTTCCTTAAATTTGATAGTTCTGAAAAATGTTTAGACCTAGATATGTTTCAGATAGTTTTAAAGTAACACTCCTTTGTTATAGTCGGTCCCTTTAAGTGAGGAAGTGTAGGGTTGGGGGTGGGTGGTAAATATATTACAAAGAACAATTAGATATATGATAGTACAAAAACATTTACGCCTAAATTGAAGATTCTGTGATAAATAATAATAACTGATTGAATTGGGGTGTGTATGCAGCGCCCAGGTGTCCAATATGATTTGACTTCGTTTATTTTCGTCCAAATCGACAGACAATTCAGTCATTTCCTTGTCTAGACTGGGATCGTGGTGAAGTCATGACCGAGAGTTCAGCTTATTTACCTTTGTCTGCTACTGACCTTTTCTGGGATTTTACGCCTGTTAGTTTCCATTAGGTACACTATTAATTTGTTGTGTTAACTGTGATGGAAGACTATGTGATATGGTCTATAATTAATCACTAACAGATCATTTTTCTCCTCAGATTTATGCCATTATATTTTTTAGTGGATGCGAAGAGTTTGAAAAAAACATATGTCAATTTGTTTCCAATCGGTGCCGATGGGTGCCTGGCGTTAAATACACATTCATGGAGTCTTATTTTCATCCGTTCAAACGGTTTACCGGTAAAACGGTTGTTTTAGTCAGAATAGGGGTTAAGGTTTTGTTAACAAATAATGTCCTGACTTTAAAATATTCTATTTCTCGTTTGTAATGAACAGTTAACCAGAACCTAACATTCTATCTAATCAAATACGTTTATATAACAAACTTATTTAATGAACAGTTCATCAGAATCTAATATTGTATTTGATCCAATTCGTTTATATTAGCTTATTTAATGAACAGTTCAAATCGTCTATTAGAATTTAATATTGTGTCTGTACCCCTGTTGATTTAAACCGTGGAATTACCCAAGTATCTGTATTGGGGTCGCTACTGTTCACTCTATACACTAAAAAACTAGATACACTTATAAGTGACCATGGCCTTCTTATACATTTTTATTCTGACGACTTTAAAATTATGCCTTTTTAAGCCTACACCACTGTAGTTACTTCCACGCAATCCCAGCTTTCAGGGTGTTATGAAAACAAACTAAATTTAATGATGAGAAAACTGAAGCGTTACTTCTTGATCCCGAATCCAGACGTGATCATTGTGGTATAACCCATGTGTATGTCGGCAACCTCTCTATTCCAATTTCAAACAGCATCAGAAATCTTGGAGTGATGTTTGATAGCTATCTCAATATTGAAACCGACAAAACGCATATATGCAAAGTGTGATATCGCATTCTACTAAACATAGGATGCACTAGGAAGTATCTTCAATGCTGATTATACTAGGATATTACTGCCCTCGTTAGTGCTTGAGAGAATAGATTACTTCGTTAGGTCTTTTTTAGCGTATGCGCCATCTGCTCTTATTCTTTAATATATGCCAGTTCGATAATTAAACTTGTCTTTATACATGTACCTGGAAATCTGTCAGCCGATTGTCCGTTGGTACGACAGTAGGCTACGTTATTCAGATGTTCTGTTAGATCCCGTGTAAGGTATAATAGCAGCCCCTGGAAATCCGGGGTAAGTATTTGGGATCAGGAATTGTTTGAAATTTATTTAACACGCCTCGGCTTGGCGCCGTGATGGGTACCCCCCCCCCACACACACACACCTACCTCCACACCAGGACACGTGTCATAGTTTCGTAAACCGATTTTAAATGGTACTTTTTAAGGTGTATCCTGATGTATGGACAAATGTAGCGAGTCGCAAACTTACAAATTCATCATAAATAACGTAAATTCAAAACGACAAAGAGCCTCCAAACTAAACTACAAGAGAACATTACCTGTAATTCGCTTGCCCGTAGGGATCTTTAAGACCATTTGACCACCAAATTCCCTTCTCCTCCCACCGCAAAAATGTGTGAATGGATATGAGGGCGTATAAAAGTGAACTGTTATATGGTGTCAATTTGTAAACTTCCTAAAACAACCCGTCATTTATTACTGTGTCTGATAGAAAGGTAAATACTTGTCGAAAGCATCACATAAGAGGCATTTATACTACCACTTTATAAATATTACTAATTTGGTGTCCTGTCCGTAGGATTGTCTTGTGTAATTGTTTTTGTGTTTGGTGCGGTCCCCTTGCACTTACTAAATATGTATATACTAGTACACCATTGTACTCACTGTTCTGAACGATGTAATTTCTTTTAATTTCCCAAGTCATAAATGGATTTACTTACGTGAAAGTTAAATCTCCATCAAGCCGTGGGATTATATAGTCTTGTAGTAGGTCATGACCTCAAGAATTAATTGACATAGTTTTTAGGAAAGTAAAACAGCCCAAGTTGGATTCTTCACTCTCCGTTATTCTATCAGTATAAATCATCTAACAATTTGTGAATTGTATATTAATTCTATCAGTATATTAACAAATCATTGAAATGCTTTATACGGATAAGAGAACAATGTCTTAATTTTATTCCTTCTCTATCAGGTAGGGGTGAGCGGTCTTCGAATAGTCTAACGAGTGAGCTGTAGATCATAAGATCTGTTACTGAGTTAAGTAGCGTGGTTTCGAGTCTACGCGTGTACGTGACAAGGGGTAAGGTCGCCTTCCTAACCTCGTGGGTATCCCCCCTCACCCCCACCACCCTACACAAACTGCTAAAGACCCATACGCGCAAGCAAAGTACTAAATTAAAATCTCCAGCGAGATTTACAATCATTTTCATTGGGTCTCAGTATATCACATATGATAATTTGTGTATGTCAATCATCATTTCAATGTAGAATGACAGTATGTCACATATACATAATGGATATTTCAAAATACAAAAAGTTTAACTATCTATCAATCATAGAAACATGAATCTTTAAATATATCGGACAGATACAACTTTATTTTGACAGCGTTAATTGTATAATTGCTGTTGAAAGAAATCATGGATTTGACAGGGGAAGACAGCGGAAGTCAAATAAAAACACACTCCTTGGTAATAAATAATGTAGCACTGAATTTTAACGATCAAATACTTTTCTAAAATCTAGTATATATATATATATGTAAAGTCACTAATCGTCATTTATAGGATTTTGAATCGCCTGCAAACTATAATATTGAATCTCTGAGAGGATATTAGTCCGTTCAGTTCCGTGCAGTACTTACAATTTCCCAGCATTCGGCATCTTTTGTTCGGCCGCTTTCCAATACGATTGAATCCAGTTGTAAGATTATCTACCGTTGATAGGTTGGTTTGTTTCCTTAATTAAATGTCAAATAATGAATCTGAATACATTTAAGTCTGGATAAAACTTTTAAATGATAAAATATCGCTTCTTGTAGTTCCCCCATTTACCCATAGGGCTTCAAGATCTAGGGTGCCTCAGGCTAAAGTGTATAATATTTTTGACACTATCAT